AACCCACCAGCCACTCCTCGGAAGGAAGGTTGGGCAATCCTACTTCCGTAGTGATACTGCCTCGGAAACCCAAGGAGGGGTCGCTATGAGTTGGGTTTGACTCGACGGCACATAACAACAACAACAACAACAGCACACTAACTGGATTACTTTAAGGACCAGTTGTCGTTTAACTTAGTCTAATCTGATTCACAAACTTTTGGTCATATTGGTCAGGTTATATGTCTCAATTTTTGGTTCATAAAATCATTCTTTAGTAATTACCTTAATCTTTTATTTGTTTATTTAAAATGCATATCTCACCTATTTCTAAAACTGATTCATACCAGTTAACAATTTTAAACAAAAAAAAACCAGACTAAGACAAGTTAAAGCAGAAAATAAAGCATCATTTAGAATGAAATAAAGACCTTTGTTGAGTAAAATCACTGGTGGAACACTTGGAAGCAGCAACGTGTAACAAACAGTATTTTGTGTTAGACTAACATTTGTACATTATTTCCTTGTTATATAATGTTGGGCAAGTCTTTGGATTTCTTTTGTAGTTTAATTTCCTCATCCATAAAATAATGTAATTGCTGCATCATAGGATGTTGTGAGGACTAAATAAATGAGAAGATTTCCATTCATGGTGATACTTGATAGGTCAATTTTACTTCCCTTAACCTGCCAGTGAAAGCAAAAGGAAGACAGGATTATGCAAATTTCATTATTGATATAGAATATATGCTTTATTTCCATATTTCTGAAAAGTGTCGTTTCTAGGCCGGCATCATCAGTATCACCTGGAAACTTGCTAGAAATGCAGTGTTTTTAAACTTCGCCAAGACCTGCTGAATCATAGTCTGGGGCAAGGCCCAGCAGTCTACCAAGTCCTCTCAGTTTAATTCTGATACGCACTTAAAATTTGAGAGATACTGCTTTGATTTATCCTCCCAGCCCCTACAACGAAACAGTGGATGAAACTGAGTAGTTAGATGACATGGAAAGATCACAGAGTTATTCTTTAGAAACCATTAGGATGCAGATCGAAGGTAGAGTAGTGCTCTTAACTGGGCATAATGGCGACCAATAGAACGCTGCAGCTGTTAGCCTTTTCAATGGAATTTAGAGACTTTCTCATAAGGTATTTTCTCTGCTCTTAATTTCCCTACCTGACTCTAAGTCTGATAAATACCATCTATTTACTCAGAATTTTTAAAAAAATATATGAAAAACGGGCATCTGAACCCTGGAAAAATAACTAGGCTTAGAGTAAACTGGCCTCCCTGGTATTGATGAAGCTCTTAATGGGCCCTCAGGGTGCCCTTCAAGGACTTGGGAAAGTTGCAATGAACAAAGCAATCAAAGTAGACAGATGTTTGGGACCTCGATGGGGTCTGCAGTAGCCTCAATATTGTGACCATAAAGCGAGCTTGGTTCATATCCAGGCAAAGTGTAGGGCAGATTGGGAGGAACTATTTTTCACAATATGATACAGGGAACATCACAAATACTGTCCTAGACCATCTGTTGGTGGGCCCAATTCTTTTTTCTGCAGATACTATAACTATCTGCCAACTCAACATTTTTCAGGTGTATAATTTAATGATATCATCAATCATGTACTACCACCACCTATAAACAATGTACTTCTTTCCTTTTCCTTCCCTCCTTGGTAACCACTCAAACTTTGTTCTATAAACATTTGCCTGTTATTCTCATGTAAGTGGGATGATAAATTTTTGTCCTTTTGTGATTGACTTCACTGAGCATAAGGTTTTCAAGATTTATCTATGTTGTATTAGCATGCATTTCATTTCTCTATGGGTGTGTAGTATACCGATGTAGGTGCATACTACATTTTGTTTGTCTATCTGTTGATGGCATTTAGCTTGTTTCCACTGTAAACAGTGCTGCAAGAAACATTAGTATACACGTGTCTGCATTGCTGCTTTCAGGTTTTGTGTGTATACCTAGGGGTGGAATTGCTGAGTCATCTAGTAGTTCTAGGGAGCCTGGTGAGACAGTGGTTTAGTGCTTGGCTGCTAACCAATAGGTCGGTGGTTCAAACTTAGCAGCTGCCCCACAGGAGAAACTTGAAGCATATATTCCCTAAATAATACAGTGTTAGAACCCCTATAGGTCTGTACTATGGGGTCACTATACAATGAAATAATATGGTAGTTCCATGTTTAGCTTTCATTCTGGTGGGTCCAATTTTGACATGGTAAGTAATTTCACTGTCCTGTAATTTTATGAATCCTACTCAAGTGTCCAGAGAATGAATTTATACATTGAATTCTTTCAAAAGAAACATTTAACTAGAATATCAGCAATTTTTTTGTTGACTGACATGTGAAAACAGAATAACCAAAATTACTTTGAAAGAAAAATTATGTTAATAATATTAAATAGAAATAAAATCATTGATAATTTCCATAAAGTACATGTAGAAACTAATAACTTTCCTGTATTATTTTAGGTTAAATATCCAGGAATTACAAAGTGCATGGTGCTTCCCATTGTTGCTGCAAAGAATTTTTACCTTTTTGCTTTGTTGGCTTGAAGTAGCTTAGATGACATGCATTATTTATTTATTTTTTTTTTTATTAGGATTTGAGTGAAGATTTAGAGAGTAAATTCACTTTGAGGTGCATTATTTTGAAGTAAGGTTAGCCTTACTTAAAACTAGGATGGAGAATGTTTAAGGGAATAAGTTGGTAGTTTTATTTTTGCATATGGTCTCAGGATATAATATTTTCACTGTCAAATCCTTTTTTTTCCCCTCCATCTTAAATTATCTCAGTTCTTTATGAGAACTCATATGAAAAAGTAGGGTAAATTATGTGTTTTGATATTATGCACATTTGATCTATAGATTTACAAAATTGTTTCAAAACTATTT